GCTGAGCTTAGTATCATCTTCAGAACGACGTTTCACCCAAGGGGCGGAGGTAGCGCGGTGGAACCAATACCACGTTGTAGGCCAGAAGGCCGGACGGTAGTCAAACCACTACACGAGCTCACTCCTCGCTGACGCCTCCAGGGACTTTTCCTCCCTTTGCCTTTGATCATCACCGGATAAATTGGAGGTCTTGTGGCTCGCGATGCACTTAGATGTGTGATTTTGCTATGCTAGTATACATTCGAGAGAGAAGCTGTTTCTCTTTTGGAGCTAGAACTCTTCATACAGTACACATGAGAACTTTGGATAATCCTTGACCGATCAGAAAATCCCAACCCAGCCCTGTCTACCGTTACTCCCAGTCCCTCATAAGCGTATTCGCCTCAATCTGCTTATCGAAATCCACAATATGCGTCGAATGACACCACGGCTTAACCCTCTCCTCCTTCCGAATCGTCCCCGCAAAGAAAGCGCACCACCCGAGCCTCGGATGCACCCGATTAATCCACGCCCTCGTCTCCGAATGAATGATCCCCTCAAACCCCTCGACGCGCGGGTGCGCCCCGGTATTATCATACAGCGTCGCGAGCTGGATCAGCTGCCCGATGAAGGTGATCGTCCCGTCAACGCCCATATCCTGGTGTCGGATGATGGCTTCGGCGGCGGCCTGGGACTGGTCGGTCGTTGCGCCGAGTTCCTGGAGCACGTGCAGGGCCTTGATCCCGCCGTAGATGTCGAAGGACATGCGCGTTGCGGTGAGGTTTTCGGGCGCGGTGCCCAGGTCGTGCAGTAGGCAGGTTAGAGCCCAGGTTACGGGGTTGAGGGCTTGAGCTTCGTCTGGGAATTGTTGGGTTGCGATGGCCATTCCTGCATGCGTGTTAGTCTACTAGTAGGTAGGTAGACTGTCTGATGGGGGGTTGGGGGGGTGGGGGGAGCTGAGGTTGCTAGGAAACGCACCGTAGTAGTAGACCCGCATGGAGTGGCTGAAGGTCTCGGGGTCGAGCACAGCTTTTGCATATTGCACAGTTTTGTCAACGACGGAGTCTTCAGCGGGGAATTTGATTTTCTCGATGGGGATGGGTTTGGGCTCGTTGATGAATGGCTTGTTGGTGAAGATGGCGCCCGCATCGACAGGGACGGCGTTCCAGCCATTCGCTCCGGCCTCGTGGTCGCACATGTTGGTTCTGGGCTGGATGGATCAATAGGGACACGATTAAGTATAATTTTTGCTTCTGACAACTCTTACTCGTGGGCAAGGGGGGTTTAGATAGAAAAGCCAGGGAAGGGATATTGATGATTCATCATGATCTCAGGAGGCTTTTCAAATACATTGGACGCCCTTCAGTCGCGTCGAAGGCCCGAGAAACAATTACACTCTCGTCCAAATAGGAAGTTATATTTGGTGGGCCTGCCAGATTATGTGATGATGGATCACGGATGTTCTAGACGATCAAGGGTCCATCGAGCGAAGAGTGGCTGGAATAGGAAGTTGACTCTGGTGGGCCCTGATGCGGGGTGGCGAAGCCAATAATGGTAGGGTACCTCAAGGGTAATCCAGGAACATGAATGACATCACAAATTTCACATACTGTTCGAAGAGGTTGGTCCACATTCTAGGGCGAGACGGTTATAAACCTTTCATGTGGGCGGATCACTTCGACCTGGTTGTTCGGACATCGTTTCCATGGTCGCGGCAGGTTTGCAATTCCCTCTAGTGTTTGTGATACACAGTGCGTCTTGGACTATGGTGAGATTAATAGCCGGGAACTCCAAGGAATAATTTATAGCCAGATGCTGGGCATGTTGCTCGCCTTTTCTCGACTCAAGCTTAATAAGTTGCGGCCCCGCTGGGGATAAGTCTGGCTGGCAACCGATCAACCCTGGACCAAAAGCGTATAAGGTCTTCGAGGAATCTATTGTTGCTTACTGCTCCAGTAAATTGATACACACAGAACCCTACTAGGTCGCCTTCAAAGGTCGCAGTGCTTTTTGACTCGATACCCAGATATACTCTCCAGACTTCCCAACCATATCTTCCAGCATGATTGCCCAGCAAGCTAGGATGTGGTGCATTGAAAGCAAATCTCCTAGCCCCACCGCAAAAGATTATCAGCAGGTCGTTAATCCACAGTGAGGACCCTTGCATATTTGATATCCGGTCTAAGCAGTGCTAGTGGCTCCCAGAGACTTTCCCGATCGCCACACGTGGGCTATAGTCTCTCTTGTCAACTTGACGGTGTTTCTGAAATATTGCATCCACACCAGGGTAGATGATAGTAGTTCTGCTAACGCCTTGCAGTCCCTTGCCACCAGGGAAACAGTTTACATTAGCTCTCGCACCGAACCTCTTTGTGAGCAATCACCCTCATATCATCGTTATATCCATCACGGGAACAGTTCCCGGTAGCTGCTTCAAGATCGTCTTCCAATATCAAGCGCAATATAAGTTACTCCACCAGATAAGCATAAGTGACCGCATCTATAGATCTGCAAACTATGATTGGTCAGTCGGAGGACGAGATCGGAACATTGATAATCCGCGCCGACTCCGTCACCCCTCCCTGCAACAGCAACACTCCGCTTACCCACCACGCAATGTTCCAGATCCCCTTACAGATCCAATCAATCACCGATCCACATGCCGAAAGCATGCTGGACATGCCGTAGCCGCACGATCCGCTGCGACGCCTCGCGCACCCCCTGCCTAAAATGCGAAAAGGCGGGTCTCGAATGCTTCGAGAAGAAGCCGCTGCGATGGGTCAGTGGCGTGGCGATCCGGGGGAAGATGCGGGGGCAGACGTATGGCGCTGTATCTGTATCACCGGATCCTTCGCTGAGTTCCGATGACGGCCGATTTGTCCAGGACAAGGCATATGCGAGGGCGGTTATGTTGGGAGACCAGGCGGATCCGCCCAGATTTGCGTTGGTGGATCCGCGTGTGCAGGGGCTGGATTGGGGGGTGAGGTTCCATGTTGACTATTGTGCGTATTCTTTTAGCTTGGAAGGCATATGGTTTATTGCTGCGTGTACTGATAAGGCTCCAGATAGTGATCAGATCTGCAAGTTGTATATCTTGCACGATAGCGATACCAACCCGTTTCGCAGTTTGCTCCCCTATGCCTTAAATAATGGGTCATTACTCATGGCGATAACCGCCCTCTCAGCACGACACATCGCTAATGCGGGGCATTCATTTGATCGGGCCGGGGAGGCTCTAACTTCTCAACGTGCAGATGCCGAGCTGGCAGCACTGCAGTCCAAGGCGCAAGCCATAGCTAGCTTGAAGGCAGAACTCGCCCTTCCGGAGCCTTGTAAGAAAGACACGATAATGGCGACGATCTTGCTTCTGATCTTTGTCGAGCTCCTTGAGTCCGGACTGGATGGCTGGAACTTCCATCTCAAAGGGGCCAAAGGTCTAAGTGACCTCTCTCAGTCGCTTAATCGGCCTGTATTGTCTGGCCATGCAAACAATTCTTCAGGAGAAATGGCCCAAGATGTACGGTCCTTCATTGTGAGGCAATACTCAATGTATGTCCATCTGCCGTCCATTGATGTACTTTCCTTCCCCTCCACTAACCGCAATAGAATCGATACGTTAGGCTCCGCGCTATCACATCCCACCCCCCGACTCGGAGAAACTTCTAGCTGCGAGGCGATTGAAGGACAGGAGTCCATCGTCCGCAGCTTCCTCGGCTGTCCCGAGTTCATCCTGAGATCGATACAGTTTTTCTCTAACCAGCGGCACCTCATAGCGGAATCACCACTGCATGCTAAGACCGCCACTCACACACATATCCACGACACGCTCGCGATGCTCGAACTAACCCAGACGTTCGATTCGCTGAAATGGGCCTCGCAATTCCACCCCTCAACCATGTCATCTCCTGCAACGGAAATAAATAATCTCTTCCTCTTATCCGAAGCGTACAAAACAGCCGCGCTCCTCTACGGCCGACAGGTCCTCACCCGCACAGGCGCACACATGGAACACGCGGAAACGCAGGCTTTAGTGTCGCAGTTACTAGGTGTCATTGCCGCCCTCAAAGCCGAAGACTCATTCTTCAAGTGCCTCCTCTGGCCGACATTTGTTGCTGGTCTTCACTGCCTCGGGCTGGACCAACAAGACCTCGTCACTGGCTCGCTGAGGAGGATCTGGGATCTGACAAAGTGTTTGAATGTGATTAGTGCCGCTGATATACTTAAGAAGCATTGGGAGCGTGTACTGGCCTCCGGAACAGCGAATCCGTGGACGGCTGGGCTTGCTGAATTGGATAGGCACTGGCTGTTGATTTGAGAGGGATGAATGGACGAATTAGATAAACGTACCTAGAGGTCTTTTTCTGTAGTAGCGTTATTGAGGGTTATGGTCTAGGCCACCTCATCAGAAGCTAGAATCGTGCCATTGAGAACCATTATCCAACACGATGCCATGGGTTCGTGCCCGGTTTGAGCTGAGGCCATGTCCTATGTTTACCAGACGCTAGCAACGTAGCCTATCCTTACTAAGTAGAGTACGTGCCACTCCGAGATAGTTGGGCGATTCATATCCTGCGATCGCCCCTGGCGCCCCTCGCTCGCATTTCATGCTTAGGGTTTGATCGGATGGGCTCTTACAGCGCACAGTTTCTAATGGATTTTAAGAATAGGCACGTGGGATAGGTGTCAGCGCTTATTCGAGTCTGGTTGTCGATGGTCTGCGTTACCTTTACCGACGGCGTTGCGGTTGTTTCTGAATTACTGTTTATTGGGGTTTCGCCGTCCTTTCTTGTTTGTACCGTGGTGAGCAATTCCAGCCAAGGGGACAGAATATATATCCCCAAGACAAGTGGCAACCAGTCCACCGCCACATCAATTGTACATTACTAGGCATCAAAATCGATCTTGATTAGCGACAGGTGTCCCAAAAGTAACCAACAAAAAGAAAAAACCCAACAGCTTCGCGTTCTCTGTAAAATAGGTGGAAACGAAAAATGGCGGAATCTGTCGAGGCGCAAAAAGAAAGGTCCATCCCGGGTTCGAACCGGGGCTTTCAGAAGGTTTGAAACCGAATCGTATCAAAACCTGACGTCCTGACCACTAGACAAATGGACCGGATTGTGATTGCGGGCCAGGAAAGAGCACCTATCAACCATGTGCCCAACTGTCCAAATATAGTACTGCATTCGCCACGGTGGCCCAGTGGTGTTGTCATATTTCTCGTCAGACTGAGGTGGGTTCGTTGCACCTCCACCTCCCAAACAAGCTTAATCCGAAGTCGGATGCGACCCCGGAAAATTGCTCCCTGCCTCTCATCACCTCAAGGTACGGACGACGCCGCTGACCTCGCAACGGCGGATTATTCTCTTTTCCTTTCTGACGTCCTGTGAATGCAGCCTCGCGACGACAACAACCAGTGCCTGCCAGCGCAGAGGCTTGCGGTACCGAGTAGATGCGATGCGATGCGCTTCCCCTCTGTGGAATAACCCCTTCCCCGCTCCATCATGGCTTCCCTCCCCTCCCTGCGTCCCAACCGGCCCCTGCCCGACCACCCCCCGTGGCCGCAAAGCCGCGTGGTGCTCCCGCCGCGCCGGAAAGTCAGCTTGGCATGCACCAACTGCCGCTCGAAGAAAATCCGCGTATGCATCCATGCTGTCAAACATCAACATTACCCAGATTACCCCGACCAGTAGCCGCGAGACTAACCATCTCATCCCAGTGCGACGGAACAACCCCATTCTGCTCAGAATGCATCCGCTCCGGTAACCGCTGCGCGTACGAAAACGTCGACAAGCGCAAGACCGAGACCTGGCGCGTCGCCGTCAGCGACCTTGAGCAGAAGAACCAGGAGCTTGAATCCACCATCCAGTCGCTGAAATGTAACTCGTTCCCTGAGGCCGTTGAGCGGCTGCGCCAGCTGCGCGGGGATCTGCTTCCGCCGCCGCCACAGCAACAGCAGCAGCAGCAGCAGCAGCAACAACATGAGGGGCACGAGGAGATGCCCGTGGGGACACCGGGTTTCAGCGATACGTCGAGTAGCGGGCTGAGCCTCGCTGCGTCGATAAACCCGTACCTGGCTGCGCCCGTCGAGCGACCGTCTGCGTCGCGACACCCGTCGGATGAGGATGAGCTCGTCGATCTGGGATATGCGAATCTACCGTGTGAAAACATGACGCGCCATGCTGTTAACGCGTTCCTAGGCTGTGGCTGGGCGCTGTTCCACGTCATGTCGCAGGACCTCGCCGACGAGCTAATACAGAAAATATACCGCCGGGATCCGGACGTGACGCGCAGCGACCTCTGTCAACTCTGCGCCCTTGCCGCTGTTGGCAGCCAATACTGTACGAATGAGATTCCGGCATTCGCGAAGGAGAATTACTACCAGCATGCGTTTAACCTCCTGGAAGAGTTGGAGAATGATCACCTGGTCCAAATGCGCGTGTTTGCTTGTCTTTCTGTGTATTTGATTATGCTTAAGAGTACGAGTGCGAGGACTATGGCTGGTATGTTTTTCCCATATTGTAGCAGCTGTTTGCTAACAGTCTCAGCGTCTGGCCTTAATGTTGCGCGGGCATATATGGGAGATCGGCTGCAGGATACTAATGAGGAGGGCCGGCTGGAGTGGACCAGAGTCTACCGTACATTGGCGTGCACCGAGTCGTGAGTTGGACACTGAGAGAACTTGGAATTAGTGATGTATTGACAGGCGCCAGTTGGCTATCGTCCACCCTCGGCTACGAACTCGGTCTGTGGGTAGAGGAGATAAAGCTGGTCAGTACCCTCTTTCCCAGTGGACGCAGGCGCCTCGCTAACCACTTCTCTTCAGATCGACGACCTGGCCGACGCCGAGTCCGCCATGAACCCCAACAACGAAATCAACACCCGGATAATCCAGCGCTACGTCTTCAACGTAGCCTTCCTCTCCGCACAGGTCTACGAACGCTTTCGGTTGTCGGACCGTCTATGCATGGACGACCTGCATGCACTCTCCGCCCAACTCGACACCTGGCATCGGGAACTGCCCTCGTGTTTGCACCTGAGTTCACTCACGTCCGGGGAAAGTAATACCTCGGAGTGTGTACGGCGGCCTCTGCTCTTCATGCATATGATTCATATCTCTTCGCATATTACGCTCTACGAGCGCGTTATGTATACGACCTTGAAGGAGGCGATGGGGACGTCTGATAAGCAGATGATCCGCGAGGTATTTGGGCTACCAGCGGACGCGATTCAGATCTATGGTTCGTTTGCGCAGCAGCTTGCGAGGATCATTAAGCTTCTCTATGATGAGGAGGCTGTTCTCGCTCGATGCTGGCTTACAATGTATGCACCTCCCTTCCTAATACTAGTAGAATCCACCCACCCGGTCAAGCCCAGCCAGTGGTTACTAACACGCTTCAATTAGCCACGCCTCCTTCCACGCAACAATCGTCCTCCTCATGCTCACAGCCCAACACCTCGCCCTCAGCGTCCCACAATCCTCCATACTAAAGGACATGGAGCACACCCGCGTGTGCCTAAAAGTCCTGCACTTCTGCGCAAACTACGACATTGCCGCCATGCGCCTCGTCGACATCGTCACCCCGCTCTTTAATCGACTGTGGCAGATAATTGAAAATCCCAACGATGTGCATAAAATCGCGCCCTCGTTTTCGATCTCGGATACTCCTGGCGCGCCGAGGCTTTCGGCTGGCCTGGCGCATGTTGTTCATCAGCTTGTTGCGGCGATGGGGTTGCGGTATCAGGAGGTTTGGGTTTGAATTTTTCGTTTCTTTTTTTTGCTTTTTCGGGTTTTCGGTTGGTTTGTTGGTTGGTCTCCGCTCTGGATGGTATGGTACCAGATTGGATGTGTCTCACGATAATGATAATGACTATGATCCATGTTTCTCATTCTGGGTGGGTGTTTGTTTATTGTGTTGCTTTGATTTCCAAGCTCAGGTATACTTTGCAGGCATTGTGTACGTTATACTGAAAGGAGATTACTACACTACAATCTCGGGTAGATGTACAACAAAGGCTCTGCCGCATCCGGCCCGTGTCAGCATCAAAGCTTTATAGTCCCGGCTCCTCTTTGCAGCTGTCGGACAAAGGTTTCATGCACTACAAATGTTTATGCTTTCCAAAAGGACTCTCGTCAGTATAAGTACAGTAGTAGTCTCGTCCTTTGGCTCCATCCGAGCAAACTATACAAATTCCTACTCGTTGACATTTCTATATACACTTCCTCTTTCTCGAACTAACTTATTCAAAATGAAGCACCTGCTGGCCAGTACTCTACTAACCCTCTTCGCCCTCGGGGCCTCCGCTGTGCGTACCGTACCCTCTTTCCAACCAAGCAATACCACCCAAAGTACTAACCATCTGCTCATATCCTTAGTCCCCCACAGACCCCTTCATCGGCGACCACGGGAAACCCGTCAAATGGGAAGTCTCCCCCTCCCCCGGCGCAGCCCCGGTAACCCTTAACGGAACCGTCGAGCAGGTCTACGCGAAACTCCTCGAGATCAACCCGAACTACGACGCGGACTGGGCCGGCGTCGATGAAGATGAGGATGTCGATGGATATCTTGGCTTTAACATGGATGATGAGACTGACACTGACCACCATCAAGATAACACTAACACAGAACGTGCCACCACCACCACCACCGGGACAAGTCTAGAAGCCCGCGGGGTGAAACCGCTCCACCAGCGCAAACATCTCACCTGCGAGGCATACCTGGACGCCTACCAGTGGCACATCAAGCAGGGGATCAAGTACCTCCGCAAAGTAAAAGGGAAGCCGTCGCATGGACCCGGAGAGTGTGGGCGCGTGAGCTGTTCGGGGAATTCGGGGATTTGGTGGTGTAATGTGGTGAGTATTTATTCATTCTCTTCTTTGAGGGTTTTCTTTTCCCATTGAGGATTGTCTGCTAACGCGCCAACTACTCCGTACACAGGATGCGAAACACACCAAAGTCCTGCCCTCGTACAATAACATCGCCGATGGCGCGCAGGTGATCCTGGATAATTGTAAGAGCGCGGGCGATGGCGTGCGCGGGCAGCTGGGACATGATGATCGGTGGACGGTCGTTGTACAGATGGCGAAGTGTTAGGGGTTCTCGAGACTCTGCCTTGCAATAATCTGATAGTCTGTCGACCTTGCTTGGACATCAGCGTGTTTGTCGCGCTTGGTTGGCCTCGGTTTACACTCCTTCGTGCAAGTCGCTAGAAGTAAGTTTGTCTTTCTCTACAGACTACGCTCTCTTTATAGCACTGCGCTATACTTTCCCTCTAGTCTTGCTTTGCTTGATGAATGGAATGGACATGGCTCGGTGAGGGGTTTACACTCATTTATCCTATATTTCATATGTTACGGCATCTCTGGCCTATCCTGGTTTACGATGTCTGCAAGTAGACTAATGACTTTCTTTTGTTACCGCGTACTCTTCTCCAGTACTTGATGCTGCTTACTTTAGAATGAGCAATCGTCAATATACGATATTGTGTTATTCCTAGCCTACTATACTAGGTACCATGTAAGATGGAACCCACTCTCCTGGACCTCTCAAGCGGGACTTTTGAGCTGTTGTTGGCCTGCTATTAATAAGTGTGTTGCGCGGCTTGTGGCACTCCCTGAGCTACTCTTTACTATGGCAATGGTGTTGGCATTGGCAATTAAACACCATGCTTCGCTTGTGTAGTAATCTTTTTAAACGCAAATATGAGGATTTCAGTGTTACATTACTAGGAGACCACACCTGTTCGATAGGAAACGCAGTTCATGTCCAAGGAAAACGAGTTCATTTTTCTCTACCAAGCTTTTAACCAGCCTATACAAAAGAAACCCAAGACACCAGAACACCACCAAGCAACCTCCTACTTAAGAGACAACTCAATACGACAGCAGCGGTACTAGTATCACTCCCGACTAACATCCACATCAACCGTATTCGTAACGTGAATCTTCTGCCCACTGCCACTGCTCCTCCCCTCACTCCGATCGCCAGGACTCCGATTCCCATTCCTATCCCCATTGCCATTCCCATTCGCATACCCATACCCATCCCACAGCGCCTCCTGACTACTCCTTACACAATCAACCTCAATCTCAACCGTGTTCTCATATAGCTCCG